CCTGAAATTAGTGCAGAATGTTACTAAGGTTTTTAACCGTAGTGATTGTTGGGTGTGTGCACAGTTGCCTAAATCAGGAGAAAGCCTGGATCTCCCATTAATTGGAGTTCCAATTCCTAACACTGTCTCATGGACAAATTTGTGGGTGAACACTAGCAATCTATTCAAAGGAAAGGTTAAAATTTGGAATAGTTAATCCTAATCCAGGTAATAAATATTACACCTGTGTACAAAGATGTATTACACCAGGAACCAGGGTAGGAAATCTTGCTTAAATGCCACGGATGTAGGTCACCATTCAAATTGCAATCATACTATTAACACAGATGGTATCGTAGTTCAGTGATGGCCCGTTCCTAAAGGGAAAGGATGGTATTGGTTATGTGGAGAAAATGCTTATAAGACTCTACCCCCCAACTGGAAGGGGGCATCCACCTTAGGTGCTGTAATACCCAATTTTAACCAGCCTCTCTAAAGTGGTTTTACAAAACCGAATGGCTCTAGACCTGTTATTGGCATCACAAGGAGGGGTTTGAGCCATAATCAATGAAAGCTGTTGTTCCTATATAGACCGAAATAGAAGAATCGAAACAGATCTGGAGGAAATTTGGAAACAAACTAAGATATTTCATGAAATGGCCATGGGTGACATCTCCTGGGGTTTGAAGAAATATGGAAAAAGTTAACTTCATGTTTACCCAATCTCTCCTGGTTGAGGCAACTGGTTGCAGGAATATTGATGTTAATTATTGTAATATTGATTACTTGTGGTATGATACAATTTTCCCTCTAGTGTTGTAAACGATCTATGATTCTAGACTAAGGACTATGTGGGCCCTCTCCGGAAGGTATCAGGAGAACTGGCTACCCTGGATTTGGAGAAGGCTGAGGTTCTGAATGACTTCTTTGCCTCAGTCTTCACTGGCAAATTCTCTGAGTACACCACCCAAGTCTTGGAAGGCAGATGCAGGGATTGTGAGAATGAAGACCTTAGGCCCACTGTAGGAGACGATCACGTTTGAGACCATCTTAAGAACCTGAATGTGCAGAAGTCCATGGGACCTGATGAAATCCATCTGCATCCTGAAGGAACTGGTGAATGAAGTTGCTGAGCCACTGTCCATCATATTTGAAAAATCATGGCAGTCGGGTGAAGTTCCCGATGACTGGAAAAGGGGAAATATAACCCCCATTTTCAAAAAGGGGAAAATGGATGACCCAGGGAATTACAAGCCAGTCAGTCTCACCTCTTTGCCTGGCAAAATCTTGGAGCAGATTCTCCTGGAAGGCATGCTAAGGCACATGAAAAATAGCAAGGTGGTTTGTGACAGCCAGCATGGCTTCACTAAGGGGAAATCCTGCCTTACCAAGTTGGTGATCCTGCCCCTCTACTCTGCTTTCGTGAGACCTCACCTGGAGTATTGTGTGCAGTTCTGGTGTCCTCAACATAAAAAGGACATGGAACTGTTGGAACAAGTCCAGAGACGGGCCATGAGGATGATCAGGGGACCAGAGCAACTCCTGTATGAAGATAGGCTGAGAAAGTTGGGGCTGCTCAGGCTGGAGAAGAGAAGGCTGCGTGGAGACCTCATAGCAGCCTTCCAGTATCTGAAAGGGGCCTATAGGGATGCTGAGGAGGGGACTCTTCATTAGGGACTGTAGTGGCAGGACAAGGGGTAATGGTTTGAAACTTAAACAGTGGAAGTTTAGATTGGATATAAGAAGGAAATAAGGAGGAAATTCTTTCCTGTTAGGGTGGTGAGGCACTGGAGTGGGTTGCCCAAATAAGTGATAAATGCTCCATCCCTGGCAGTGTTCAAGACCAGGTTGACCGAGGCCTTCGGTGATATGGTTTAGTGTGAGGTGTCCCTGCCCATGGCAGGGGGTTTGGAACTAGATGATCTTAAGGTCCTTTCCAACCCTAACTATTCTATGATTCTATGATTTGGGATCTGTCAACTGATAAATCTGTCACTGAAATGTGTTCTTTGAAGTTGTCAGTTGGAAATAATTTTTTTTTGCAGATCTAGTTTACTATAATCTCTTTTCCCAGATGTCAGATGTTACTACTCCTAATAAACCCTAGTGTTAGGGAAAAAAGTTCTTAGTAATTGATATGCTAGATGAGTCTGTAGGATACTTTCATGCAGATTTGGAATTTGAGTGGCTGAATTTTCATACCTCAGGAAAATGAAAATGAGTCCCTTCCCCTCTGACATCTGTTTTTTTTTTCCAGGCTGATTACAGTAGTGTTTGAGAATTTTAAAGATTGTGAATACCCTTGAAATCAAAGTGATCCTTTTGCTAGGAGCCATCATGTTGCTGCATATGGTTCAGGTCCTGTTTAAGGTTAAACAGTATTTAAAAATATCACTCAGAGATCTGCTCTGGGGCTGGATAGTTGTGAGTAGCAGGGTGTGGGGGATAGTATAGGTAAGTGCCTAGGACAGTGGACCTCTCCAGTATTTTGGGATTTCACCCCTGAAGAAGTGTAGAATCCAGAAAAACTAGTAAAATACTTTGAATAAGTATGTTGTCACCTTGGCAATTCCAGATACACACAAATCACTTCAGTGTGCTGGGGCCTGGCCCATGTCTACAGAGACTTGCTCAACAATATCCAGTACCCTCAAGGGCAAAAGAATGTCTCTGAACCTGACAAAAAAACGGCAATCACTGCAGCCACTCCCAGCACCAGCAACAGACTGTAGCTACTCCAATGCTGGCAATATGCACTGAAGCTAAACCAGAGAACCAACCTGTGCTGTTATCAATTGACCCTATACACAAGAAGAAATGGACACACAAGTCAGCATGTTTAGTTAAGGAGGATGAAGCAGAGCCATCACAAAAAAGGAAGAAGAGGCAGAATAAGAGGCAACTTCTCCATCCCTATCCCTGACTGAGCTGTGGGATATACAAAAAGATTTCAGTTGTAATTCAGGTGAGCACATTATCATCTTGCTACTCTGATGGCTGGGATAATGGGGCTAGTAGCCTGGAATTAGAGGGCAGGGAAGCCAAACAGATCACTTGCTAGGGAAGAAGGCATTGGTAAGACAACAGCAAGGACAGAAGTCCTCAGGTTCTGGAGGTGACTACTAAAACTGTGAAGGAAAGTTATCCCTTCAAGGAAGATTTTATATGTCGCATAGGCAGATGGACTGCAATAGTTGTATCCATTATCTGAAGGAATTGACTGTACTAGAGATGATTTATGATAACCCAATCAACGTGCAGTCACCCACACATCCAGATGAAGTCCAATGCACACAACGCACAAGGCAGAAATTTGTCATTGTATGCCAAATCATTGGCAGTAGTGGGTTGGAGAGACAAAGTCCCACGGGCAGTGGTTGAAGTGGTTGCCCAACTCGGAATGCAAACACAGTGTCACTTCTTCTGTTGTTTCAACCATGGAGGAACTGTCCTGGGAGTTCCAGCAGTTCAGAGAGTGTATGTCCTGCTCCCCGCTTGTACAGACCCACATCTCAGCAATGAACAGTAAGTATCTATTTGCTCGAGAGGGATGATATAGAAGGTACACACCACGGGGTACCCTGTGGTCTTCCCTGTGGGATAATGCAGAAGACTTGAGGAAGTGGGATGGAAAACCTAGCTCAACCCTAGAGGAATGGGTATGTGAACTACAAGGAAAAACAACCACAACTGGGAATTTTACCAAGAGAGCTGCTTCTTCAGTGGACAGTTTCCCAGACAGATTGGAAGGGTGGGTTATATTTGTGTTCTACAGAAAAAATTCTAACCCATTTTTACACAAAGTGGAGAGTCCCATGACCAGGACTAGAGGGGCCCTGCCTCTAGCCAGCTGGAGAAGGGGGACAGCCAGGGTTACCAGACTATGCACATCAGACCCACAGGAGTATAAGTCTCTAGTAGACACCAGTGCACAGTGTACTCTACTGCCATCAATCTATCAAGGGGCAGAATTCATTTGTATTTCTGGAGTGACAGGGGGACCCTAAAAGCTGACTGTATTGGAGGCTGAAATCAGACTGACTGAGAAGAGAGGGTACTTTCAGGACCCAAAAGGGTACCAATGAGCTTTTGGTTTAGCTGCCTTGGAGACGGAGGAAATGAAGCAGCTGTCCACCTTGCCTGGTCTCTCAGAGGATCCTTCTATTGTTGGGGCTGCTGAAGGTCAAAGGACAAACAAGTGCCACAACAGTGCACCAGCAGCAATATTGCATCAACCAAGACTCCCTGATTCCCATCCATAAGCTGATCCATAGACTGGAGAGCCAGTCCTCAGCAGGACTAGTCTAACGGAGAATGGAGACTAACGGTAGACTATTGTGGCCTGAATGAAGTCACACCACCATTGAGTACTGCCGTACCGGACATGCTAGAACTTCAATATGAAGTGGAGTCAAAGGCAGCCAAGTGGTATGCCACAATTGATATTGCCAATGCATTTTTCTCCATCCCTTTGGCAGCAGAATGCAAGCCACAATTTGCTTTCGCTTGGAGGGGCATCCAGTACACCTGGAACCGACAGCCCCAGGAGTGGAAACACAGCCCTACCATCTGCCATGGACTGATCCAGGCTGCACTGCAACAGGGGCAAGCTCCCGAAGACCTGCAATACATTGATGACATCATTATGGGGGGTGATAAAGTAGAGGTTTTTTAGAAAGTGAAGAAAATAATCCAAATCCCTCTGAAGGCCGGTCTTGTCATAAGGCAAGGTATGGTCAAGGGACCTGCACAGGAAATCCAACTTTTAGGAATAAAATGTCGAGATGGGTGTTGTCAGATCCCAAGGGATGTAGTCAACAACATAACAGCAGTGTTTCCACCAACAGGCAAGAAAGAAGCAAAAGCTTTCTGAGGCGTGTTTTTTTGAGAATGCGCATCCAAAACTACAGTTTGAATGCAAGCCTTCTCTATCAAATGACCTGGTAGAAGAATGATTTCAAATGGGGCCCTGAGTTACAAGTTTTCGAACAAGTTAAACAGGAGAGAATTCATGCAGTAGACCTTGGACCAGAACAGACCAGGTAAGAAGCAAAAAGTGTGTTTTACACCATGGAGCTCCTACTTGGAGCCTCTGGCAGAAAGCACCAGGGGAGACTCAAGGTTGACCTCTTGGCTTCTGGAGTCAGGATATAGAGGATCTGAGGCCCACTATGCTCCATCTGAAAAAGAGATACTTATGAAGGGGTTTGAGCTGCTTTGGAACTGACTAGCACTGAAGTACAGCTCCTCCTGGCACACCGGTTGCCTGTGCTGGGCTGGATGTTCAAAGAGAGGGTTTCCTCTGCACATCATGCAACTGAAGCTACATGGAGTAATTGGGTCACACTGATGACACAGTGAGCTCAAATAGGAAACCCCAGTCATCCAGGAATTTGAAAGTGATCCTAGATTGGCTAGAGGGCAAAGATTTTGGAATGTCACTGGAGGAGGTGATGTGTGCTGAAGAAGCCCCACCATATAATAAACTGTCAGAAGGTGAGAAGCAATATGCCTTGTTTACTGATGGGTCCTGCCATATTGTAGGAAAACATCAGAGATGAAAGGCGGCTGTATGGAGTCCCTACAACAAGTAGAAACTGCTGTAGGAGTAGGCGAGTTGAGTCAGTTTGCAGAGGTGAAAGCCGTCCATCTGGCCTTAGACATTGCAGAATGAAAAAAACGGTCAGTACATTATACTGACTCATGGATGGTGTGAAATGCCCTGTGGGGGTGGTTGCAGCAGTGGAAGTAGAGTAACTGGCAATGAAGAGGTAACCCATCTGGACTGCTGCTTCTCATGATTGCTAGCTCTCATGTCTGCTGGAAGTACAATATGGCAGAGAGGAAACAATCCACAGGTTCTTAGAGCATGTGGAAGATAACTTCTTGACCCAGCTGGTGAGTGAGCCAACTAGGGGTGATGCCCGGCTAGATTGGCTGTTCACAAACAGAAGGACTGGCAGGTGATGTGATGGCTGGAAGCCATCTTTGGCAAAGCAATCACAAAATGATTGAATTTTCAATCTTTGGAAAAGTCAGGAAGAAGGTCAGCTGAACTGCAACTTTAGACTTCCACAGGGCTGACTTTGGCCTGTTTAGGATGCTGGTTGGGAAAATCCATTGGGAAACATTACTGAAGGACAAAGGGGTCCAGGAAACTGGACAGTCTTTAAGAATGAGATCTTCAAAGACCAGGCAGTCCCCATGTGCTGAAAATCTAACTAGTGGGTGTCCTGGGTTCAGCAGTAGCAGTCATTTTTCTCCTTCTTAGTAGCTGGTGCAGTGCAGTGTTTTTGACTTTCAGCCTGGGAACAACGCTGATAACACTGATGTTTTCAGTTGTTGCTAAGTAATGTTTACTCTGACCAAGGACTTTCTGAGTTTCATGCTCTGACAGGGAGGAGGGGAAGCCGGGAGGAAGCAGAGACAGGACACCTGATCCAAACTAGCCAAAGAGGTATTCCGTACCACAGCCCATCACGCCCAGTATATAAAGTAGGGGCAGTTACCCAGAAGGGTTAGATCACTTCTCGAGTTGGGCTGGGTATCGGTTGGCGGGTGATGAGCGGTTGTAATCTTTTCCCTTGTTATTTCCCTTATCATTATTATTATTGGTGGTAGCAGTGGTGTTTTTGTGTTCTACTTTAGTTACTGGACTGTTCTTATCTCAACCCGTGGGAGTTATATTCTTTCAATTCTCCTCCCCATCCCTCTGGGAGCAGGGGTAGGAAGGGGTGGGGGGGGGGGAGTGATCAAGCGGCTGTGTGCTTCTAGGTTGCTGGCTGGGTTTAAACCACGACAGTGGGAAAGAGGCCAGCCTGGCTGAACAGGGAGATAGTGCTGGAACTCAGGGGGTGGAAAAAAAAAACAAGAGAAGTTATCACCTCTGGAAGAAGGTTCTGTTGACCTTTGAGGAGTACAAGGATGTTGTTAGGTTATGCAGGGAGAATATTAGAAAGGCTAAGGCACAGAAGGAACTAAATCTGGCCACTGCCATAAAAGATAATGAAAAGTACTTTTTCAAATATTTTAGCAATAAAAGGAGGGCCAAGGAGAACCTCCATCCTCTACTGGATACTAGGGGATGCCTAGTGACTAAAGATGAGGAAAAGACTGAAGTACTTAATGCTGCCTTTGCGTCAGTCTTTAATAGCAACACCAGCCATCCTCAGGGTACTCAGTTCCTTGAGTTGGATGACAGAGATGGGGAGCTGATTGAAGTCCCCATAATTCAGGAAGTAATGGTTAGTGACCTCCTGCTCCACTTAGATGTATACAAGTCAGATGGGGCCGAATGGGTTATACCCAAGAGTGCTGAAGGAGCTGGTGGAGGATCTCACCAAGCCACTCTCCATCATTTATCAGCAGTCTTGGTCTAGTGGGCAGGTCCCAGGGGATTGGAGTTTGACCAACATGACACCTCTCTACAAAAAGGGCAGGAAAGAGGATCCTGGTAACTACAGGTCTGTCATCCTGACCTCAGTGCCAGGGAAGGTCATGGAGCAGATCTAAATGTGAGCACTCAGGATGTGTGTGAAAACGGGAGGGTTGGGCCCAGTCAGCATGGATTCATGAAGGGCAGGTCCTGCTTGACCAACCTGATCTTCTCTTACAAGGCAATCTGACTGGTTGATGAGGGAACAGCTGTAGGCATTGTCTATTTGAACCTTAGTAAAGGGTTTGATACTGTCTCCCACAGCATTCTCCTTGAGAACCTGGTTGCTCATGGCCTGGATAGGTGTATTCTTCGTTGAATATAAAGTTGCCTGGATGGGCAAGCCCAAAGAGTGGTGGTAAATGGTTTCACATCTAGTTGTTGACTGCTTACTAGTGGTGTCCCTCAGGGCTTGGTGTTAGGGCAAGTGTTTTCTAATATCTTTCATGATGATCTGGATGAGGGGATTGAGTGTACCCTTAGTATGTTTGCAGATGACATCAAGTTGGGTGAGAGTGTTGATCTGCTGGAGGATAGGAAGGCTCTGCAGAGGGATCTGGACAGGCTGGATCAATGGGATGTGGCCAGTGGTATGAGATTCAACAAGGCATAATGCTGGGTCCTGCACCTGGGCCATAATAACCCCATGCAACGTTCCAGGCTTGGGGGAGAGTGGCTGGAAAGCTGCTCGGCTGAAAGGGACCTGGGGATGTTGATTGGCAGCCAGCTGAACATGAGCCAGCAGCGTGCCTGGGCAGCCAAGAAGGCCAGTGTCATCCTGGCCTGTATCAGAAATGGCATAGCCAGCAGGACTAGGATAGTTATAATCCCCCTGTACTTGACACTGGTGATGCCACACCTCGAGTATTGTGTTTAGTTCTGGGCCCCTTGCTGCAAGAAATACGTTGAGGTGCTGGAGCTGGTCCAGTGAAGGGCAATGGAGCTGTTGAAGGGCCTGGAGCACAAGTCTTATGAGGAATGGCTGAGGCAACTGGGGTTCTTTAGTCTGGAGAAGGCTCAGTGGGCACATTATCACTCTACAACTACCTGAAAGGAGGATGGAGAGAGGAGGTAGCTGTTTTCTTTTTCCAAGTAACAAGCGATATTGCAAGAGTTAATGACTTTAAGCTGTACCAGGGAAGGTTTAAACTGGGTATTAGGAACAGGTTTTTCATCAAAAGGGTGATCATGTATTGGAACAGGCTTCCCAGGAAAGTGGTGGAATCACCATCCCTGGAAGTGTTCAAAAACTTTGTAGAAGAGGCCCTTAGTTACATGGTTTAGTGGTGGTCTTGATGATAGAATCATAGAATCATACAATAGTTAGGGTTGGAAAGGACCCTAAGATCATCTAGTTCCAACCCCCCTGCCATGGGCAGGGACACCTCACGCTAAACCATATCACCGAAGGCCTCATCCAACCTGGTCTTGAACACTGCCATTCACAGGCACACAGGGAGCATTCACAACCTCCCTGGGCAACCTATTCCAGTGCCTCACCACGCTAACAGGAAAGAAATTCCTCCTTATATCCAATCTAAACTTCCCCTGTTTAAGTTTTAACCTGTTACCCCTTGTCCTGTCACTACAGTCCCTAATGAGGAGTCCCTCCCCAGCATCCCTATAGGCCCCCTTCAGATACTGGAAGGCTGCTAGGAGGTCTCCACGCAGCCTTCTCTTCTCCAGGCTGAACAGCTCCAACTTCCTCAGCCTGTCTTCATATGGGAGGTGCTCCAGTCCCCTGATCATCCTCGTGGCCCTTCTCTGGACTTGTTCCATCAGTTCCATTTCTTTTTTATGTTGAGGACACCAGAACTGCACACAGTACTCCAGGTGAGGTCTCACAAGATCAGAGTAAAGGGGCAGGATCACCTCCTTCGACCTGCTGATCACGCTCCTTTTGATGCAGCCCTGGATACAGTTGGCTTTCTGGGCTGCAGGCACACACTGCCAGCTCATGTTCATTTTCTCATCAACCAACACCCCCAAGTCTTTCTCCCCAGGGCTGCTCTGAATCTCTTCTCTGCCCAACCTGTAGCTGTGCCTGGGATTGCTCTGACCCAGGTGTAGGACCTTGCACTTGTCATGGTTAAACTGCATGAGGTTGGCATCAGCCCACCTCACAAGCATGTTGAGGTTCCTCTGGATGGCATTCCTTCCCTCCAGCGTATCAACCGAACCACAGAACTTGGTGTCATCAGCAAACTTGCTGAGGGCGCCCTCAATCCCACTGTCCATGTCAGCGACGAAGATGTTAAACAAGACCAGTCCCAACACCGATCCCTGAGGGACGCCACTCGTTACTGGTCTCCAGGCGGACATTGAGCCATTGACCGCAACTCTTTGTGTGCGGCCATCCAGCCATGATCTTAAAGGTCTTTTCCACGTTAGTTGATTCTATGATTTTTACAATTCTGTGATTATGGAAGATATCCCTGCCCAGGTGGAGAATCTGGTTTGGAGGCTGTCAGTTCCTAATTGGTCAGCTGTGATGCTTTTCTTAAATATACTTGTAGTCTGTAATAGGCCATTATAGTGTTTTTTGTATGTATTAGTTTTGTTTACTGAATGCATCCAGAATAACAGAATATGAGGAAACTTCTCATTGTGCATGAAAAAAAAATATTTTGTTTCACTCCATTGTTTATTTTAACCAGGTCTCAAATCAGACTATGCTTTCTGGTTTGTTTTTCAGAGTTATATAATTGAAAGTGCTTCTATATTTGAGGAAGAACAAATTGGTGGTTGAATGGTGGATTAATAAGTAGCTGTTGTATTACCAGAATAAGAAGATATTTTGGGAGTTGGGAAGAACCTGATTTTCACCCTAGTCTAGCAGCTTTGCTGCTCGCTTAAACACAGATGAATGAAGACCCCATTTGGAAAATCACCAGGTCAGCGGTCCAGAGCTGATGCAGGTGAGGTGTTACTGAATTTGGGAGGGTGGTTTGTTGTTTTTCAGTGGGTAAAAAAGTGTTCTTATTTTATTGATTTTTCTTATGTACTCATGGCTTTATGAAGCTGTTACTGTTTGCTTGTGGTTGGGGGGGGTATTCATTTGTTTTGGGGTTTTTAGATAAGATTTATTGTTTTCACTATGGAAACTGTGGAATTGAAAGGATATACATAAATTTAACTAAGCTGTACAGACTTATATATAAGAAATTGTACTGGTTTTGGCTGGGATACAATTAAATTTATTCATAGTAGCTTTCATGGTGCTAAATTTTGGATTTGTGCTGAAAACACTGTTGATAACCCAGGGATGTTTTAGTTATTGCTGAACATGCTGCCTCTCCTCCCCCCCATAGCAAATATGCTAGTGGTGCACACGAAGTTGAGAAGAGACACAGCCAGGAAACCTTACTCCAGCTAGTGAAAGAGATATTCCATACCATAGGCTAACAGTTTAAGGGGAAAAATTTCTCTTTTGCTCATCTCAGAAGTGCTGGAAAATAAACAGTTCACTATATATTTATAACTTGCTGTAATTTTTTGATTTTTTTTTTTTTAATAGAAATTGATCAGGTAGTAATTGTGAAAGAGCATCTCGCTTCCGAAGGGTTTTTCTAAATGTACACAGATTGTTGCTACCTTGTGTGTTTTGTAAATTGAAATAATTAGTCAAAGTATTTTAAAGAATTCTTTATTTTGAAGAAACTCAAAATATGAGTAACCAGTTAGCCTTTTATGACTGGTTAGGCTAATTCTAAGTTTTACAGCTCAATAGACTAATGAATCTCAGTAAATCTCATGGACATTGTAGTCAGAATTATCAGCAATGCAACTGTTTATCCAAAAAGTGGATTCATGCCTGGTGTGCAGTAAACATGCTAAAAGTAATTTCTACATGTTCAGGAGAGATACTGTTTATTCAGGCCTGGGTGTTTGGTGGAATGTTCTGCAAATCAAGCACACCAATGCTTTCTTCATTACATTTATATGCAAAAGTTAGAAGGTAGTATACTCCACATTACAATGATTGGTTGTAATCTTCATATAATTGTATTATTTGCTGTGTCATTCTAGCTACTACGCATGCTCAGGGGAAAGGTCTTCACCTGGGCTGGGGTCTTTTTGACCTGTGGGCATGAATTTTAGTATTATAATATGATCACTTAGTATTATAATGCTGATCACTTTAGGACACCTTAAAAGTTAGTTCTTTTGCCAGGTTAGGTAATCAAAGGGTCACTTTACCAAGCTGTCAAGTAACTAATCCTTTTGGTGTCACCAATCCTGGATGTTCTCCTTTGATCCTTCAAACACAACCAATATCTGGTTGTGCCCATGAGTTCCTTATTGTTTTAAGAGGGTCACTTTGTCCCAGGCCCAAGTTGCAGTAACTATGTAACTATAGCTACCAATTACAGGTGCGCAATATAGCAAGCAACATATATCAACACAACAAAAAATCAAGTTACCAGTCAAGAATTGTTCTGTATTCTGGTATTTGGTCTTGTATAAACTGAGCCAGACTTTTTTAGCTATGCATTCTGTTTGGACTAGTGTGCAGGACAGGGAGTAGAAATTATCAATTGCAAATTAAGAATTCTACATTCTGGCATTTTGTCGATGAAATTGTTGAAAGTGAATGCTGTTCATTCATTCATCTGTTCAATGATTTGCTTTTTAGTTGAACTTAACTGAGTAATGTAACTTTCTTTGCAATTATTTTCTCTCGTCTGGAATTACCTCATGTTCTTTGGCTGGAGGAAATGATGCCCTTCCTGTTCTGTACTGCAAAACTGACTAGTGACCTGCACAGTGAAAAACTTTGTAGATAGATGGTGCAGCACATCATCTAACCCTGACCATCATTTATTGGAGCTTTCCAAGATATCTCATGAAACCAAAGCTGTTTCATATAAAATTGGGAAACCACAATTAATTTTTAAAATACCCAACTGATAGTTTATTATGGTGCTTTTAAATACCCAATTCATTCAGAAGTGGAGTAACTGATATCAGAAGATTTCTTTGAAACCTTTTAATTTCAGAACCAGACTTTCAGAAACATTTTTACTTGTGACTACCTTGCATTAATGTTATTTTGCTGTCACTCATTTGAAATATCTAGCTATTTCAATGATAGTTCCTGAAAGTCTTTTTAATACATAGTTTTGAGGAAGAAACCCAATGCAAAGTTTTAGACATTTGCTTCAATGACTTTTCATTTAGCCAGCTGATATCAGTCATCCTCCTTGACAACACCAGAGTATTTGTGGAAGGAGAATTCTATTTGTAATAGAAAAGAAAATAGGCTTTGACTTGGTACTTAATATCACTATGCTTCACTTCTAAGCATTAGCTGGGTACTGTGAGAGTTAAAAAAAATAAATTAGATATTAGGTTTCTAAAGGTAACTTTTAGAAGAATTTTTTCAAACAGTCTAATTGTGACATACAGTGAGCAGTAACATTGCAGCAGATTTGAGGTATCACAGTGTGAACTTTATGTAGAGGGTGATTTTTGTGATTACAATAAGTAATTTTACTTTACGTGTTGAGTAGAAAATTTCACTATTTATACTCTTGAAAAAGAAAAAACATTTTAGATGGTCAGACTTTTAATTGTTATTTTATCTTATGCTATAATTGGCAACTTCATTTTGCACCATGCAAAATCATAATTGGCACTCAGATTTCTTTAGATGCCATTTTTGCTTTTAATATCCCTACTCAAAAGTTAATCTTGAGATCTTTAATTTATTCTGAAGTTTTTTTATTCTTAACTGAGGAGTCCTAATGTAGTATCACTTTTTGATACGCATCTCCAAGTTTATATATGTTTGATCAGTCTCAACTCTTGACATAGTTGTTGTCTAGGCTTGGGTGTATACAGCTTCCAAGGCCTGTATACATGTTCTTATTCCTTTATTGCTTTTTGGGAAACAAACATATCTGGTAATGGAATTATCTGTTATATGTTTCCTAATTATAGATGTATATTAGGAAAGAGTGTACCAGGTAGCCATTATTAGGAGACTGCATAACCAACTCACTGTCGTGGTTTAAACCCAGTCAGGTAACTCGTTCACTCACTTCCCCCCTTCTTTCCCTCCCCCTGCTCCCGGAGGGATGGAGAGGAGAATCAAAAAGAATGCAACTCCCACGGGTTGAGATAAGAACAGTTTAGTAACTAAGGTATAACACAAATCACTACTGCTACCATCAATGATAATAATGATAAAGGAAATAACAAGGGAAGAGAATACAAGACCTCAGCACCAGCAGACCGATAACTTGCCCCCCAAGCCCGACCAAGCTCCGACCGATACCTCCTCCAACCCTGCAGTCTCCCCGCCCTCCCGGCTAACTCCCAGTTACATCCTGGGCATGACGTGCTGTGGTATGGAATACCTCTTTGGTCAGTTTGGGTCAGGTGTCCTGTCTCTGCTTCCTCCTGGCTTCCCCTCCTCCCTGGCAGAGCATGAGGCTCACAAAGTCCTTGGCCAAACCAAAACATCCTTGTTATCAGCTCTGTTCCCGAGCTGAAAGTCAAAAACACAGCACTGCACCAGCTACCAAGAAGGAGAAACATGACTGCTACTGCTGAACCCAGGACATTATCCACCCCTTATTCCATACCATTCACGTCATGCTCAGATCCCACATTTTCAATATACCATCACTCTTATCTCAGTGCATGGACCAGTCCCTATAAAGCTGCTGTGTCCATCTGGTCCATGATGTCAGGCTCCATCTCTTGTAACAGTCTTCCAGAGCAGGAGAGACTGTGTGCAGTGTTCACACTTGTGAATAACCTGGGCAATAGTGTCCATTGCTAAGTCCACCCCTTGATCATGAGTCCATCTCTATGTTGCATCTCTGCTCTGATGGCCTGAAGTGCTATGGGCCCACCAGGCTTAAAATAATTCACTGTCCCTTTCAGCAGTTTCTGCAGCTTGTTGCTGGGGACTCCATACAGCTGCCTTCCATCTCCGACGCTTCCAAAGCACTGGAGGGGCCCAGTGGACTAGATACTTGCCCATACTGTCCCACACACCCTGCCACTCATGACTGTCCAGCCTTGGGGAAAACCTCTTGGTCCCCCTATATTGTTGCCTAACCCCAGACAAGACCCAAACCTGACTCTGCTTAACTTTTGAGATCAGACAAAATGGTTGTGGGTAGAACACAGTCTGTGTGTGTGCCAGCATGCTGATCCCCATCACAATCAGCAGGCAGGTCCCAAGGGTACCCAAAGGCCATTCAAAACCTTCAGAACTCTCAGTTGATGCTGCTGTACTTGTCACTGGGGCTGGTGTAGCTGCTGTGCTTGCCGGCCCTCCCACCACCAGCTTCTCTTTTCCTGAGCCCAGATCTTCCTCCTCTGCCTTGCTGGGAAATGCTGCGTGGTCTCCTGCATCCTCCTGGGGCTCGGCGGGCGGCTTCCGGGAAATGCTCTCGGCCGTCGCGGAGCTCGGCTCCTCCGCGGGGCTCGGCTCCTTCGCGGGCCTCGGCTCCTTCGCGGGCCTCGGCTCCTCCGCCGCCTTCTCCCGCTGCTCTGCAGCCGCCTCTTTCCTCTCCTCGACCGCCCCGACCTCCTCCACCGGCAGCCGTCCCCTCGCGGCCTCCGGCCCCACTCCCGCCGCCGCCTGGTCCCCGGGGCCGCTCTCCCGGGCCGCTTCGGCTGCCGCCGGCTCCCGAGGCCGCTCCCCCTCGGCTCCCCGCAGCCTCACGAAGATGGAGAGCAGGGTGAGGGCCAGGATGGTGAAGAGCAGCCGGACGGCCAGGTACAAGTCCACGGCCACGTCCGTCCCGCCCTGCTGCTGGAGCCCACCCGTATTACAAGCCATTGCCATAAAGCACAGTGAGACGAGAACCTTAGCGCAGGCCCCACACTTGATAAACACTATCACAGCAAATACCGGCTCTACGTAAGTTACAACGGTCTGAAGCTGTGAGATCAACAA